AAGTGCATGTGCCCTGTAGCAAAAACCTCTCCAAAAAAAGAGAGACTTTTGTTCGAGGGTGTGTGTGCATGCCAGAGAAACAGAAAGAGACAGAAAGGGAGAAATCACTCCCTGGGGGGATGACCCTGCTGCACTTCCTTCTCCTTAATTCTCTTTTCAGGATCTTGTGCACTCACGCACACGCACTTAATGTGTGGCATGAGTTTTTTAAACCACTGGGTCTGGGACTCGAACTATGATTGACTCTGTAGGAGTCCAGTGATGTAACTGTTATGCTATCGGCCCGCTCGCGTGTTTGTTTTTTTTTTTTTTAAGAGAGATTGTTTGCTGGAGAGACAGAGACAGAAAGTGAGAAGTCACCCCCCAGGGGGATGGCCATGCTACCATCCCTTCTCCTCCATTCTACTCTCAGGATTTTGGGCATGCATGCACATGTGTCTGGCATGAGTTTTTTAATCCACTAGGTCCAGGACTTGAACTGTAGTTGACTACATGGGAGTCCAGCAATGTAACCATTACACTGTCTGCTGGTCTGCCAATGTTTTTCAGGCTGCCGGGTCCAGGACTCGAATGGGTCAGTCAGCTGTATGGGATCCAGCTGCCTTAACTACCACACCACTGACTGGGCCTGAGTCTTAGGGGCTGAGAACAGCTAACTTGTTTAGGGCATGGGTCTGGTCTAGTTGGCTTGACCCCTTGTTCCCAATGGGGAGAACTTGGAGATCACAGTGGGCAGTGGCTCACTCTAGGTCATGGTGCTCATTGAGGGCTGTTGTGGGGTTGCCAGCCTAGCCCCTCAGATGGGTGTTCTCAGTGGTTGTTGTGGAAACGGGGTATAAGTCAGTGTGTTACAGAGTGTTTTAGGAGTAATATTATTTATGTAAAAACAATAAAATGAACAGTACAAAAATGTAGAGGGAAGAAGGTAAAAATTACTACAGATCCAAATCTCAAAACCAACCCAAGGGCATATTATCAGGGGACAGGGTGGTAGAATGTACACTCACGGAATGAGGAGCCAGAGGAAGCCAGAGTGGATTTATGAAGACGCATGGATGGGGCCAAGAGTCCTACTTAAAGGAGCAAGGGTTTGGGAGGGAACTCAGTTCAATAGCATTGATGGGCAAATTAATAGGTCTTTCTGCAGTTGGGTCAGGATACAAGTAACCCGGTTCTAGAAAGTTAAGATCCTTAAAGTCATTCCGTTTTTAATGACCTTTTGTGTATGGCATTGGCAGATACAGGCTCCAGCTCAGATACTCTGCTTCTGAGCCTGGGCCCAGACCACCAAAACATGGCCACCATCCTGTTAAGGGAAAACTAAGGTGCCCAGAATCCTTCACAAGTTCCCAGCCCCTTACTGACCGCTGGCTACTGCCTCTCAGCTCAGCATCACTGTCTAAGCCCCGACAGCCTCCTCTGTGACATGGATGTTAAGAGAAGGCTATGGTCCCTAGAGTCCTTCACACAGCTGTCCAATACCTGACAAATTCCCCTGTGGCGTGGGTGGTCTCCTTGACCAATGTGGACTGGCTTTAGAACTAGGTTTAGGGTTCATGTATGTATAAATGGAAGGTCATCTTGTAGAGCCTTTAATTTTTTCTCCCCCTTGGGGTCAGGATCTCAAGGTCCCAGATGCTAAGTAATGGGCAAGCAAATGACAGGGACATGACAGGTCAAGAAAAAGGCAAGGCAGGAGCCTGGGCTTATCACCCAGCCTTTCAGGCTGTCTCTACCACTTATGTGACATTAGGTAGATCCCAGCCTCCTGAACCTGGGTTTTCTCTCGGTCGGTGGTGGTGTGATCATAGCTGTCTTGGAGATGGAGGGTGTGGTTGTAATCTCGAGTGACTTGAAATGGCTTTGTAGAGAACTAATGACTGTATGTTCTATTGCTGGGTCATCTTTTTCTCGGATATAGCATGTGGTGAGACCTTAGTACATTGACCAGACAGACAAGCAGCCAGCCAGAAGCACCCAAAGAAGTCTCCTTTGTGTGTGAGCACCTGTGTGATCTGGAGAGCGTACCTTCTTCTTCTTATTTTTTAGGGTGTGTGCTCTTGCTGGAGAGAGAGAGGGGGGGGGGAAACGAGAAATCCCCGCCACCCCCCGCTGGGGGATGGCCTTGCCTCAATCCCAATTCTCCATTCAGGATTCTAAGCATGCATGCACACTCGTCTGGCTGCCAGGTCTGGGACTCAAACTGCAGTGGATCATGTGGGAGTCCCGCATCTTAACTACCACACGCCACCTACTGGACCTCCCTCCCCCACCCTTTCTTTTTTATTTATTTATTTTTTGGGGGGGAGAGGTTTTTGCTATAGGGCGCGTGCACTCGCCAGAAAGACAGACAGAGAGAGAGAGACAGAAAGCGAGAAATCAACCCCCGGGGGGATGGCCACGCCGCAATCCCTTCTCCTCCGTTCTCCTCTTGGGATCTTGGGCACGCACACACGCACCCGGCGTGAGTTTAAGCCACCGGGTCCGAGACTCGAACCATGGTCAACTACGTGGGAGTCCAGCAACATAGCCGCTACACCAACTGCTGGTCCCGTCCCCCACCCTTTCTTAAGAAATTGTTTTGTAGGGCATAGGCACTCACCAGAGAAAGGCAGAATGAGGGAAAGTGAAAAAGCACCTCTCACAGGGGATAGCCACACCACAATCCTGCCTCCATTTTCTTGGGATTGCACACGCATGTGCACGCACACACATCACACATAACTGGTGTGTCCTCAGGGTCTAGGATTCAAACTGTGAAGTCGGCCATATGGAATCCAACCCCCTTAACCACTGCACAGTAGGCTGGTCCCAGTGTACCTTCTGATACACATTTAGCATCCAGTAAATGTCTACTGAGTTGTGTTACAGTGACTCTCCTGAGCAAGAGCCAGAGTGCACACCCAGCCAATCCAAGAACACCTTCTTTGCCTTTCTCTTTTAATGTGCCCATGTCTCTGGGGTAAAGAGCATGTGGAATCTCTTATTGAGACTGTACTGAATACAGGGCGTTGGGGAGCCAGGGAAAAGGGGACTCTTCTTATTTAGGTCCTGCCCCATAAAAAAGCCCCATCTTTTTTTTTTTTTGGAGAGGTTTTTGCTATAGGGCGCGTGTGCTCGCCAGACAGACAGAGACAGAGAGATAGAAAGCGAGAAATCACCCCCCAGGGGGGATGGCCACACCGCAATCCCTTCTCCTCCATTCTCCTCTCAGGATCTTGGGCACGCACGCACATGCACCCAGTGTGAGTTTAAGCCACCGGGTCTGGGACTCGAACTACGGTCGACTACATGGGAGTCCAGCAACATAGCCATTACGCTAACTGCTGGCCCCAAAGCCCCATCTTTTTATACTGAGAACTAAAGATTGAGAGCTACATCGTGTCTGAGCCTGGGAGACAGAGTACCCTAAGAGTCTTACTACAGTTTTAAGCTTTTGTAACTTCAGAAGCATTGGTGTTACAGACTTATCAGAAACACATTTGAAAAAAAAGAAGAGGGACCAACAGTTGGCATAATGGCTATGTCACTGGACTCCTATGTAGTCGACTGTGGCCTGGACCCGGCAGCTTAAACTCAGGCCAGGTGCATGTGCGTGCGTGCGTGCGTGCGTGCGTGCCCAAGATCCCAAGAGGAGAATGGAGGAGGGAATGCGGTGTGGCCATCCCCCTAGGGGGTGATTTCTCACTTTCTGTCTCTCTGTCTTTCTGGCAAGGACACGCACCCTATAGCAGAAACCTCTCCCCCCCCAAAAAAAAAGAAAAAAAAAAAGAAAAACACATTTGGAAGTTTATTATTTACATTTCTTTCACATTGATCTAGTCTTATGGAGTTTGATTGTTTTGTTTTGGGCATCATTTGCTATCTTCAGTTAGAGGGACTGAATTCACACATGATGTCTTTTTGTTAGTTTTTAGCATTTGTATTTCTGAAATCATTAAGCCTTGCATTAAAACTTGGGACATCCTATCTACTGCGTGTTCAAGCTAGTTTTGAGGGTTTTAAAAGCTTGCTGTTTATTGTAGCCCAAGGAAGTGTTTACAGCATACACGAAAGGTATTTTTCCTGGAGGTTAGGTTGGGTGTCAGGCATCATCAAGCTAACTCTCGGGCTGGGGCCAGGGTACTCTGTGGGTAAGGGATAGGTAAGCTCCTAACAGACCTTATCTCGTTGGCCAAGTAAATGGACACATTCCTCCATCTCGGGTCCGGTGTAAAAGTCTGAGGGAGGCAGACTGAGTGCTGATTGACTATACAGTCTACACATTCTAAATCTCTCCTGAGTTGATGTTTACACTGTGTGTGGCTAGTCTCCAGAAGGATAACTTGTTTTGCAGATATCCTGAGCATCTTTTCTGTCAACATCACTGGCTCCTTCCAGTTGATAGTATTTTGTCTTTAACTGTCCTTCCTAGGCCTTAATTTTTGATCACCCACAGTAGACTGGCGCGTGGGAAGTCTCCCGATTGAATGTTCTCCCTCTTTTTTTTTCTTGTTTTAATTCATTTCTTCCAAGAGAGAGGAGCAGGACAACTCCCAACAGAAGTTCTATGGCTGTGACTGAGCCCCAGACGCAGCCAGACCTGGATGCCGGGACGTGTATGCTCGATGTTCCTAGGAAGGTCTCTAGGGGCAAAGCTGGAGCCTTCCCTTCTGGGTCAGCTGTACGGTGCCTGTTTTACCACTACCCCCATCTAGCCCCTCCCAGTTGGATCTGAAGGCTTACTGAAACCCTTCGTCCCCCCTCCTTCCTTCATCAGTGAACGGAAGGGGCCCGGCTCCCGGGAACTCGGGGCTACATCACACACCCATACCGTAACCAGATGAGACGGTAGTTGTTTGAGCGCTTCCTGGGGTCACGTTTGCTCTCCGTGTTTGGTGCTAGGCTGTGGATGAGCTGGGGTCTGCCCAGGGGCCGGCAGTTTGTTTGTAACATAAAGCAGACGGCTGTCCGTTGTGCCCCACAGGGCAAGAGGCCTCCACAAGAGACCGGCTGGGCTTTGTGAATCCTGGGTACCTTTCCATTCAAGGTGGAGTGGATGTTTACACATCTAAACCTTGCTGAGGTGTGACCTCCCACGGGATCAGGTTGGTAGAGGGATGTTATGCATGAGAATGCTCTGTGAACCAAGCAAGAGTCTGTTCATTGTGTTCTTGGAGGTAGTCTTACTCTCAGGCAGATTGCATCATTTTACTTATTCCTCACTTTCATTTTCTTAATGAAAAAGAATGTGCTGGGTTAAATGATTCTCAGTGTTTTTGCTCTGAAACTCATAAAGTGGCAAAGCTCTTTTAGAATCTAGTGATGAAAAGGTTATAGAAAGTTACATGACAGTATGACTTCTGTAACATCTTTAGATGAATCGGTATTTTTTGAGCACGGTAGTGTCTCTGTGAGGTTTTAAAATAGTGTTTGTGTATATGTGCAGACACTCCGCGCTGCTGAGTGTTGGGGACACCCGAGTGTGTAACTCCTCCACGTAATCCAGCACCCAGCAGTGGGACACCTGGCTGTGGCTCCCTTTCTTCTGACCAATCTGACAAGAAGGTCATGTGAAGGGCGTCCTCACCTCCTCCGTCTGCTAAGGCTCCTGAGTCTGCATATTCTAACATCTGTGCATACATAGTAATGTGTGAACTTTTTTAGTGCCTATAGAAATTGTCTTTAGGCTTCTCTGCTTTCTTAACTTTCCTCAGTTTCCCCTTATGTTCTTACTGTATTTGGGGACCTGCTTTTGTTTATGGTGACTACCTAAGTTGTAATACCTTCTGTAAGCTTCATTTTACATATTTTCTATACATATGTATGAGCGTACTTCGAAAGTTTATGGAAAAAAATGAGATTAAAGAACAAGCTTATGGGACCAGCAGTTAGTGTAATGGCTATGTCGTTGGACTCCTATGTAGTCGACCGCGGTTCGCGTCCCAGACCCGGTGGCTTAAAACATGCCAGGCGCGTGTGCGTGCGCGCCCAAGATCCCGAGACGAGAACAGAGGAGAAGGGATTGCGGCGTGACCATCCCCCCTGGGGGGTGATTTCTCGCTTTCTGTCTCTCTGTCTTTCTCTGTCTGTCTGGCGAGTGCACGTGCCCTATAGCAAAAATAAATAAATAAATAAAATAACAAATTTATTGTGATGCAAAAAAAAAAAATCTTGAAATTCCAAGAGAGTGTGAGTATACAAGCTTAGTTACTACAGAAAATAAGATATACTACTTATCTCAAAGGCTCTTTATGTCTAAAGCCAATTTGCCAGGTTTAAATCCCCCTTCAGTTACCACATCTTGGGCAAGTTACTTAGTCTGTCTGCCTCAATTATCTCATATAAATTCTTTCCTAGAGTTGCTGTGAGGGCTATCTAAAAGGCTCTAATATAATGTAAAGTTCTTAGAGTAGTGTCTGGCACGCGGTAAGGATGCGTTCAACAGATGTTAGCTGTTATCGTTAATGATAGTTTTATTTACATGACTGATCGAGTTGTTTTTTTTTTTTTTTTTTTTTGGGAGAGATTTTTGCTATAGGGCGCGTGCGCTCGCCAGACAGACAGAGAGAGACATAGAGACAGAAAGCGAGAAATCACCCCCCAGGGGGATGGTCACACCGCAATCCCTTCTCCTCCATTCTCCTCTCAGGATCTTGGGCACGCACGCACACGTGCCCGGCGTGTGTTTTAAGCCACCGGGTCCGGGACACAAACCGCGGTCGACTACGTGGGAGTCCAGCGACATAGCCATTACGCTAACTGCTGGTTCCATGACTGATAGAGTTTTATGTAGACTGTTAATCAACTTCGATATTTATGTGAAAGTCTGGCCAAAAAAACTTAGCTACAATAATTATTTATTGGGAATAGAAGTTTCAGTATAATGATGATTTTCCTTTTGTTTTTCTTTCTTTGTTTAGGATACAACTTAAAGCCAATCTTGGCTGGAGACTATCTCATCATTTAGCTAAAAATGGTATTTTTTACATGCAATGCGTGTGGTGAATCAGTGAAGAAAATACAAGTGGAAAAGCACGTAGCTGTTTGCAGAAACTGTGAATGCCTTTCTTGCATTGACTGTGGTAAAGATTTCTGGTAAGTTCTGCAGAATTCCTGTAGATCTGTAGTAGAGGGCCACACCAGTTTTGGAAACCCTTGCTGCATAAAGCTTGAAAAAATAGAGGCAAATTTGAGAAAAGAAATTTAGGGTCCACTGATTAAAACTAGTTTAATGGGCTAGCCAGGTGATGTGGTTGACTAGATCCCGCATGGCTGACTGCATGGTTTGGATCCTGGTCCTGGAAGCCTGAGAAACACACTAGGCGCATGTACAGGTGTACCCAAAACCCTAAGAGGAGAACAGAAGAGAAGGGATTACAGCATGGCCATTCCCCCAGGGGTGATTTCTCAGCTCCTCTCCCTCCAGCTCTCTCCAGCAGGTACACACACCTGATAGCAGAACAAAACAACAAACTTGGGACCAGCAGTTGGCGTAATGGCTATGTCGCTGGACTCCCACGTAGTCGACCACGGTTCAAGTCCTGGATTCCGTGGCTTAAACTCAGGCTGGGCGTGTGTGCATGCATGCCCAAAATCCTGAGAGGAGAATGGAGGAGAAGGGATTGCGGCGTGGCCATCCCCTCTGGGGGATGATTTCTCACTTTCTGTCTGTTTTTCTTTTTGGTGAGTGCACGTGCCCTATAGCAAAAATCGCTCCAAAAACAAAACAACAACAACGAACTTATATGCTTCTTAAAAAGAACTTCATAAAGCCATTTGCCTTTTTAAGGATATTTTAAATAGAAAACTAAAGGAAGGGGAATTACGGCAACCAGAGTATTCTGACAGTTAGTGGCATGGCTTCCAGCATGTGGCCACCATTACCAGGTTCAGGGAATGACTGCATGGAGGGACTTGTGTTACATCAGAAGTATCACATGCTCATTACACTGGGCTTAGAAACCAGAAAGCGAACGTATTCATTCACAGTGAGGGAGATGTCTGATAACAGGAGACAAGATCTTTCCTAAAAAATCGAAGGTGCGAGGGAAGTTAGGTTTCTCCGGACCTCATAAGTTTATTAGGAAGATACTCTCACTGAGGCTGTCCCTGTAAAAGGGAAGAATTAGAGGAGAAGAGGCAGGATGGACCCTGAGGTGCTCAACAGGTTGTACATTTCTGTTTTTCTTAACTTTGTCTTCAGGTTGCTAACCACTTCTGTGTTATGTTAATTCTGCTTCAGCCTCAGGGGGTTCAAGTTAAAAAGCTGGCTGTGGGGACTACCAGATGGCATAATGGTTATATTACTGGACTCCCACGTAGTTCGAGTCCTAAAACCGGTGGCCTGAAACTCATCCCAGGTGCATGTGTGTGCATGCCCCAAATCCCAAGAGGAGAATGGAGAAGGGATTGCAGTATGGCCGTCCCCTCTGGGGGGTGATTTCTTGCTTTCTGTGTCTCTGTCTCAGTCTCTCTGGCAAGCACACGTGCCTTTTAGCAAAAATTTTTCAAAAAAAGAAAGGCTAGCTTATGGCTGCCTCTGCCACTGTGCCTTCAAAGATATTTTGATGGTATTTGCTGATGGTCCATTTTCAACCTAGACCGGCAATATTTTTTGAAACTGCCAAACTCTTTGTTCATACCCAATCTTAGGAGGAAATTTGATATATAAAATGTAAAAATTGATGGCTTGTTTATATTTAGCGGCCTCTTTCTGACCTTGACCCTAACATTTTCTTGAGGAACTCCATAAAGCTTTAACACAATGGTATGAGAGAGAATCGATGTTTTTTTTTTGGTGGGGAAGGGGGAGGTTGTTTTTTTTTTTTTTCCAGCACTCTGAGATCCAGTACTTTTGATGGCCTGATATTCTGCGGTGAATTATTGATTGCCTGCTATATTATCAGGAAGCCATTCAAATTTTTGTAATGTAAGATAAAGCCAGCCATGTGTGGTGGTGCCTGTGTGAGGTCCCAGCTCCTTGGGAGGCTGAGACAAGATTGAGGTCAGCTCGAGCAACACAGGTCAAAAATAAATACGTAAAGTAAAAGATAAAATCCCCCCATTGCCTCATTGCAGACGCTTGCTTCCTTTTCTCTTTGGTGTAAATCCACTTATGACACGTAAGTGAAGTAGATGGCGTGCTTGTGCAGCCGATGGGTGTGGAAAAGTGCAGGGTGGACTACAGAAGGGGGGGAGCAGCATGCTGGCATCAGACAGAGCCTCCAACCTGGGCATCAACTAATGACGGAACTTTTGATCACTTTAAAGGGGCGATGATTATAAAAACCACGTGAAATGCATAAGTGAAGATCAGAAGTATGGTGGCAAAGGCTATGAGGGTAAAACCTTCAAAGGCGATGTTAAACAGCAAGCCTGGATTCAGGTAATACCTTTTTATCTATTTTTAGGAATTATTTATGTACTGTTATGTACTCATTCATTTTATTTTAATTTGACCAGAGAGAGAGAGGGAAAATAAAAAAGTGGCCACCAGGTCCAGGACTCAAACTGTGGTTGGCCATGTGGAGTGTCCAGCGCCTTAACCACCACGCCACCTGCTGATCTCTTGGGTAACGTCTTTCTTATCCACCCAGTAGTTTCATGTGATATCTTCTGTTTCCTCGGAAGCCTAAGGGACTAAGAATAACTGTGTCATCCATGCAGAGAAACCCAGGAAACATCTTGTCTTAGGGTAGATTAGATTGAACTAAAACTTGAAAAAAGAGTTATTTATTTTTCTAATACAGTTGCAGTGCATTTGTCTTTAATCCATGTTTTGCAGATTTCTTGCAAAAGTATCTTAGAATTCTCATTTGCTTTCTTTGGCCACCAAACTGAACAGAAACTTTTTAATCTTGGTCTAAGTTTAGTGACAATGCAGCTTTTATCATTCAAATCATGTTAATACATACATTGTGTCTGTGATTCATCAGAAGCAAGCAAAATGAGGACGTTTTCATAAATATAAGGAGTTTTCTGCTTAAGAAAAACAAAAATGTACAATAAAAATGGCAAAATCAATGAAATCCCTAATTCACTGAGAACTCTAACTTCCAGAATGTTGCTGTTTGCAGGATAGCAGGAGGAAGGCTTCAGAAAAGATGGGAAATGAGAAGACAGATGTCATCTATGTGGAAATTCTATGTAAAAGTGTTTGAACATGAATTTTCTGATTTTGACTAGCTTACTAGGAGGGCAGTTGTTCTGTCCACAAGGACTTACAGCCTGCCTAGTGCAAGTTGAGAAGCCAGTGAAATTCTTTGTCGATAGGCTGTCGACCTTTGAGGCACTCTCTGCTGTAAGCGCCTAGGAACCAGACAGCCCTAGGCCTTTAGCTTGAGATACCTGTGTCTGTGAGTTCTCTCTCCTCTGTCATCACTCAGATGAAATCGTGTAATGCAGAGGTCAGCTAAGTGTGTGGCCTGTGGCCCAATCCAACCTGCCTCCTCTTTGCAGATAAAGTATTTTGGGAACACAGCCATGCTTATTTGTTTTTATATTCTGTAGGGCTGTGGTAGTGCTGTAAGGTAGTGGTTGGTCCTTGAGTAGCTGTGACAGAAAATATGGTCCGCAAAGCTTAACATACTATCTGACCCTTTACGGAAAAGATTTTCATCCTTTACAGAAAAGGTTGCTGACCCTTGCTTTAAACTTCAGGGCTTCAACAGTTCTATCTGCCATTGTGTTATAAATGAAGAAACTGCTTCTGGTTTTGTCCCAGCCACTGGTCCACTCCCCGCCTACTCATCCCTAACGCTCGAGTTCACAGATGGCTAAGAGTAAATGTTAAAGGTCTGGCCGGTGGTGTGGTGCTTAAGGGCACTGGACTCCCACATGGCTAACCAAGGTTTGAGTCCTGGACTTAGCAGCTTTCTTTCTCTCTCCCCTACCCCCCAGTCAAATTAAAAATAAATAAAGTTAAATAAAAATAATTAAAAAGAAGAGTAAATATTATTTGTTGGGAGATGAAACTGGGCTGCTCTGTGACCCTTTTAACAGATGTAGATTTGGGGATTTTTTTTTTCCCCTTAAATCCAATAATAGAATTAAATAATTGTGGTAGGAATCACTGTTCTCCTAAATTTTTTTAGTTGGAGATTGATTATTCTGAAGTCATTAATATAAAGGACTGACATATAATGAAAAAAATTCATGGGTTTCCAAAACTTCTACACCAAAATAAACCCATACCTTATTTCTATTTTTTTTCCCTAACTGAAGTCCCTTTGTTTATGGCATATGAATTTTGACAAAGGTGCCAAGATCATTCAGTGGGAGAAAGAATAGTCTTTCAACAAATGGTACTAGGAAAACTGGACATTCATAAGCAAAAGAATGAAGATGGACCCCTTACCTTACACCATACAGAAATTAACTCAAAATGAATAAAATACCTAAATTTAAAAGGTAAAACTACAAACTCTTAAGAGAAAGCAGAAGGGGGAAGCTTCATGACACTGAACTTGGCAGTGATATCTTGGGTATGATGCCAAAAACACAGGCAACAAAATAAAAACAATGAATTTTTCTATTTCTGAGGGGAAATAGGAGTTACATTGATTCTATAGATTACTTTGAGTGGTATTGACATCTTAACAATAAAAGTCTTCTAATCCATGAACGTAGGATGTCTTTTGGTTTATTTGTGTGTGTGTGTGTGTGTGTGTGTGTGTGTGTGTGTGTGTTCCTAATGGCATTATTTTGTAGTTCTCAGTATACAGGTCTTTTGCCTCTTTGGTTAAGTTTATTCATAATTACTCTCTTCTTTTTGGTGCTGTGGTACAAATGGAATTGTTTCTTTTCAAATTATTCGTTGTTAATGAGCAAAATGAAACTTGAGTTTTGATTGTTGACTTTATATCCTGCAACTTTGTTGAATTTCTTTATTATAACAACTTTTTTTGTGTAGCATCTTTAGGGTTTTTTTATGTATAATACTATATCATCTTCAAATGGAAGTAATGTTACTTTGTCCTTTCAAATTAGAACTTCTTTTCTTTCTTTGTCTTGCCTCACTGCTCTAACTACACCTCTAGTACTATATTGGATAGAAATTACATGCTTTTAAGCCTAGACATAAATACAGTATCAGAGCTCAAAGTGTGAACCCTTTGGCATAGCGTGGACTTTTTTAGATGAGCTCTTATGAAATTCATGTTGCTTATTTATTGTTTTTATCTTTCTTTTTGTAGAAAATTAATAAGTTAATAAAGAGACCTAATGTCAGCCCCAAAGTGAGAGAACTTTTAGAGCAAATTAGTGCTTTTGACAACGTTCCCAGGAAAAAGGCAAAATTTCAGGTATGGATGAAGTGACTTCTCAGAATGAAGGGGCTGTGCGGCCCATCATTGACAGAACTTGTGTGTGTGTATGTCAAATGGGATCAATGGCTTCTTTTCTTTTTGTTCCGTACAGAATTGGATGAAGAACAGTTTAAAAGTTTATAATGAATCCATTCTGGAGCAGGTGTGGAATATCTTTTCTGAAGCTTCTGGCAGTGTAAGTTGGACCTAATTTTAGACTTGCAGTATGGCAAATAATTAGAAATAATGCATTGGGAATGTCTTATTTTAAAGGTCAAGACAGCCTTCTTGAGAGAACAGAGAGCCTCTTTGTGCTTTCATTTATGGGAAGGAATAAACTTGAATGTACTGCAAAGAAGATTTCCTTATTCAGAGAAAAGTATTTCATCCTAATGTTTGATAATGGTACCAGCTAAGATGCACTTAGAAATCAGGCAATAGGCTGCACTGGGAAAAAAAACAGGAACTTTGGATTTCTAACAGACCTGGTTTGAATCCCTCCTGTGCTGTTTGCCAAATGTTGGATCTTGCACACATGATTTAACCTGAGTCTGTTTTCTAAAAAATGTAGATAGTAATGCTCATTTTTGCAGCACTTACTCAGTGCCTCCTTTACACCTTGAATAAAAAATGTAAAGTATCTGAAGAAAAATTAAACAGGTTGAGGACGTGGTGACTGGATGTGGAGGCCACACAAAGCCCCTTAATGCTGCACTGTTGAGGTAGATAAGGAGGCCTGCATTTAATGGCCCTCACTCAGCATGCAGCTCCCTCCTGGTCAAGGAATCAACTGCTTCTTAGTCGAGGTGGTTTGGTAGAAATTCCCCAGATGCGTAATGCTCATGGCAGCAGAAAGTCTTTCTTTGGTGTCTTTAGTTATAGTGTTGTTTACACTGATAATTTCAAATTTTTGCCTGTGAACTTAGTTGCACTTTGATCTTATTTGGAATTTATCTCCTATTAGGAGACGTCTGTCAGCTTCAAAAACCAGTGAAGTTATGTCTGGTCTTTTATTCTAGTTAAATGATTAGGAGTTGACTTGGTTTGGGTAGAGAGAGTAGTTGTAGCCGCAAATTGGGATCAAATGAAACTTCATCTTGGCAGCGTATGCCGTGTTTGTCTCTTGTCAGAATATATAAATCGGGGCCAGAAAGTGGCATGGTGGTTAAGGTGCTGGATTCCCACATGGCCAACTGTAACTTTAGGTCCAGTTCTAGACCTCGCAGCTTGAGAAATCACTTAGGGCACGTGTGTGTCCAAAATCCCAAGAGGAGAATGGAGGCAAAGGGATCGTGGTGTGGTCATCCCTCTGGCGGGTGATTTCTCACTTCCCTTCCCTCTGGTGAGCCCACAATGTCAGAGGCCATCTGACATAAATTTAACAACAATAATAATAATGATAATGATAAAAGAATATACGGATTGGACCTTTGAAGCCTCAGAGCCATTTAATTGATACTTATGGGGGACCTAATTTTAATTTTAATTTTTTTGATGATTTGCAGCAATTAATTGAAATTCAGTGTTGTTCTATCTTCTATCCCATGAGCATCCACCCAGCTGCCTTTCACGTTTTGTAATCTACATGCTGCAGTCATAAAAGCCCTAGGAGCAAAGACTACAGGTTAATCATGCTAAAAACTTTCCTGTTTAATGCTTGTTAGTACAGTATTTTAAAAATTTTTAGAGAGATTTTTGCTATAGGGCATGTGTGCTCATTGGAGAGACAGAGACAGAGACACAGAAAGTGAGAAATTACCCCTCAGGGGTAATGGCCACACTGCAATCCCTTCTCCTCCATTCTCCTGTTGGGATTTTGGGCACGTGTGCACACTCACCCCATGTAGTTTCAGGCTGTCCAGGCTGGGAATCGAACCGCAATCAACTACGTGAGAGTCCATCAACATAATCATTATGCCATCGGCTGGTCCCAGTACAATATTTTTTAAAGGCTATTTTCATTATTTTAACTAAGAATCAAAGATTCAAAATCGTTTATATTAACTACAGGGCCTCTAGTTTTTCTTAGGTTTTGCACAATTAAAAACTGAGTAAAATAATCAGTGGTCAACTCATGGTAAACTGTACTATATAAAACACGGTTGTTAATTGCTGTGCCTTCGCCTTCTCCCAGGGGAGCTCCCAGCACCTCCGCAGTTTTGTAGGCAAAGCAGAAAGTCCCATGGTCTGCGTTCATCTTTACCAAATGTTTATCTCCCCAGAACTACTGCCAGGTTTCAGCTTGGATGATGTTCTGTTCTTCTTGTCCAGAAAGCTGACCCCCATCGCAGTGAGCACCTCGTCACCGTGGGTGCAGCTGTACGCGGGCCCAGGTCCCGCCCTGTGGAGCTATATTCCGTGGGGAGGCAGACCAAACACGTACCACATGGGTCCTGCGGTGTGGTATTCTGGGGCATAGCAGTCCCAGAGGAAGAAGACTATAGGTAACTTAGCTGCAGTTAACAGAGGTGGACCTTGAATCCAGGTCTGCAGTAGTCTAGGCACAGTGATTTCTCAAACCCTCAAACAGCTCTGAGCTGCTGCCATTGGCCCGCTCCCTGCCTCTCCAGAGGCATTAGGGCTCACAGAGCAGTTCAGTAAGTTGTCCGAGGTCCTGTCTTAAGCAAGGGGCTCAAGAGCACAGCAGAATACGGGACTGAGCTATGCTGATGTGAGTGTATGTATTGGGTTGTCGGAAAAGTCATGACGTATTTTGTCTATTTTTCTATGCAAAAATGCACGTGGCTTTTCCAACAGCCCAATATTTATTTATTTTAAAAATTGTATTAGTGTGCTATGGGGTGTGTGCACTCACTGGATAGAAATAGGGCGGGGGTGGAAATTTGGGCACACACGCATACATGTCTGGCATGTTTTTCCAAGCCACCAAGTCTAGAACTCAAACCACACAGTTGGCCACGTGGAATCTAGCTGTTTTAACCTTCATGCCACCTGCCGGCCCTGTCGGTGGTTTAAATAGGCTCTGTGTGCCGATCTTGATAAGGCGTGCAGGAAGTGGAGAGTCCATCTGACTCCAGTGCACATAGCTGTTTTGTTTCCTGCGGTTCCTTGCTTGCCCCTCTTTATACTCTACTACTCTACCTGTATGCCCTGACTGTTCCTCTCAGTGCTAGTGGTAAAACGGTACCTTTGCCCAGTAATTGATAACTCACATGGCTCTTGACCTCCGGTGGGCAGGTTTCATGGGTATCTACTGTGCTACAAGTCTCGTCTTTTCTCATTTAACTCTAGGATCAGCTCTTAGGTAGGCATTACTGCCCTTCATAGCACAAATAGGGAAATAGATTTGGAGTAAATAACTTGCCCTGAGTACCTGACTAGTAATTTTTTTTTTTTTTTTTTTGGAGAGGTTTTCGCTATAGGGCGCGTGCGCTCGCCAGACAGAAACATAGAGACAGAAAGCGAGAAATCATCCCCCAGGGGGGATGGTCACGCCGCAATCCCTTCTCTATTCTCCTCTCGGGATCTTGGGTGTGCACGCACATGCGCCCAGTGTGAGTTTTAAGCCACTGGGTCTGGGACGCAAACCGCGGTCGACTATGTGGGAGTCCAACGACAGCCATTACGCTAACTGCTGGTTCCCACCTGACTAGTAATTAAGAGAGCTGGAACTAGAACCCAGGTCTAGAAATACTTCAGTCCCGTGGCTTCTGCCACACCTTAGTGTTCTTCCCTCCGATGAATGGTTAGACAGAGGAATGGTTAGCTAGAACTCAAGGACTTGCCTAAGTCACATAACAATTATTTACTCTTCCAGTGAAGCGAAAGTATCTGTTCAGTGCAGAGAAGGGTGTGAGCTGGGGGGAATTTTTTCTGATTTTGCACATTTCCTGTTCCATTTTAGCTCTTGGTTGGAGAGGTCACAATTTTAAGATGGCAAGGGATAAAACCATTTTTCTTGAACAGTCTGCAATGATATGGATGATTATTTTCTCATACTTAGAGAACAACTATCAGGACCAGCAGTTAGCATAATTGGCTATGTTGCTGAACTCCCATGTAGTCGACCGCAGTTCGAGTCCTGGACCCAGTGACTTAAAACTCACGCCGTGCGCATTTGGGTGCGTGCCCAAGATCCCTAGAGAAGAATGGAGAAGGGATTGCGGTGTGGCCATCCCCCCAGGGGGTGATTTCTTGCTTTCTGTCTCTCTGTCTGTCTGGTGAGTGCATGCGCCCTATAGCAAAAACCTCTCCAAAAAAAAACAAAAACAAAAAGAGAACAACTATTAATGTGTGTCTTGGTTTTGCTTAAAATAAGGAGCCAGTCAATAAGGGTCAAGATCAACAGCCACTCAGCCAGGATGCAGGTCCACACGCAGAAGTCTCTACCAAGGCCCGCTCCTCCACAGCAAACAACACCACAGAAGAACACGCCCTATAGCAAAAACCTCTCCAAAAAAAAACAAAAACAAAAAGAGAACAACTATTAATGTGTGTCTTGGTTTTGCTTAAAATAAGGAGCCAGTCAATAAGGGTCAAGATCAACAGCCACTCAGCCAGGATGCAGGTCCACACGCAGAAGTCTCTACCAAGGCCCGCTCCTCCACAGCAAACAACACCACAGAAGAACAATCAGAAGCGAAGAAGAATAAAAGAGAGAAGAAGGAAGAACGGCAGAAGATTAGAAAAAAAGAAAAGAAGGAACTGAAGTTAAAAAACCACCAGGAAAATTCAAGGAGTCAGAAGCCAAAGAAGCGCAAAAAGGGACAGGAGGCGGGACTGGAAGCTGGCGGGCAAGAAGTCCCCGAGGCCAATGGGTCTGGTGAGAAGAAGAGTGGGAAGAAGAAGAACAAGGGCGCACCTGCAGGGGAAGGGGCAGCGGATGGAGGTAGGGGCTCCGGAGAGGACGGTGCCAAGGAAGAGCCCAAAACGGCTATAGGAAAAAGAAAGCGCAAGCATTCAGAAGGTATGTGGCTCGCATGTGCTCTAGGATTTGTTAAGAAATAGTAAAGCTGGGCCAGTTAGGTGGTGTGGTGGTTAAGGTAGCTGGATCTCACATGGCTGACTGTGTGGTTCGAAACCTAGACCTGGAGGCTTGAAAAACATGCCGGGTATATGTGCATGCATGCCCAGAGTCCTGAGAGGAGAAGGGATTTTGGTGTGGCCATCCTCCCTGGGGAGGGGTGCTTCCTCATTTCCTCTCTCTCTCGCTCTCTGTCTCTCTCCAGTGACTACACTGACCCTAAAGCAAATTTAAGTAGAAATACTAAAACTGTGATTTGAGGATGTCTGAAACTGATTAGACCTTGGGTTTTTTTTTTTTTTTTTTTTTTTTTTTTTTTTTTTGGTGGTTTTTAGGGCGCATGCGCTCGCCAGACAGACAGAGACCGAGAGACAGAAAGCGAGAAATCATCCCCCCCTTCTCTTCCATTTTCCTCTCGGGATCTTGGGCACGCACGCACACGTGCCCGGCATGAGTTTTAAGCCACCGGGTCCAGGACGCGAACCACGGTGGACTACATGAGAGTCCAGCGACATAACCATTACGCTAACTGCTGGTCCCAGACCTTGGATTTTGAACCAAGTAAAGGAATGAGTATGAGCTTTATGGTCAGGCTGACCTCAGCAAGTGACCTGTGTCCCAGCTCTCCGTTCCCTCATCTCTGTGGAGGATGATGAAAACCATGGTGCTGGGTTGCTTGGAAAATAAGTCAGATGCGGGCCAGCAGGTGGCGTGGCAGTTAAGGACACTGGACTCCCACATGGATGACCACGGTTCAAGTCCTGGGCCTGGTGGCTTACTTTCTCACTTTCTCTCTCTCTTTCTGGTCAAATTAAAAATAAATAAAGTTAAATAAAAAAGAAATTAAAAAATAAAGTAAGAAAATAAGTCAGATGGTGTGTATAATGTACCAAGCATGAATTAAGACTATCTTTAAGTGGTAGCTGTTATCATAAATGCCAAATCTTTTGTTTAATTTGTGTTTAATTTTTCTAAATATTTAGTTAAAACAGAAACTAAGAAGAAAAAGATGAAGATCCCAGGACATTCCGAAGGTGGTGAGCCAGAAGACCACGAGGCTCCTGCAAAAGGTATGATCACCACCATTCAGGTTGGGGAAGGCACCGAGAAGCTCCATTTGGGGACAGGGGGGGTGAACCGGTCCCTCTGTCAGGGCTACACCCTCCAGGCATGTGGAGACATTTGTGAGCAGTATTAGTTCTCTAGGGGACGCAAGTTAGTCTGACAGTACCTCTGTCCACCTGTCTTTGAGGAACAGAATAAAGCAGTCTGGATTAAGAATTTCTGTCCCCACAAAGATTCTCCTGCTGCCCTCTCACAGCCACATCCCACCCCTCCTTAACCTCTGGCTGTCACTAATCTAGTCTCCATTTCTGTAATTTCTAGAGTGTTACATAAGTGGACAGGAAGTGTGTGACCTTTTGAGATTGGCTCTTTTCACTCAGCATTATGCTCTGGAGAGTCATCCAGGTTACCACTCCCGATAACACGCTTCTTTTTATTGCTGAGTAGTTTTCTGTGGCATGATGTCCCAGCTTCTTTAACCACTCACCTACTGAAGGACATCGGGGCTGTTTCCAGTTTCTTGTTGCTGAGAATAGAGCTGGGCCAGCTGGCGGCTTGGCAGCCGAGGTGCCGGACCCACATGGCCGACCACACTGTTCAAGTCCCGGGCCTAGCAGCTTAAGAAACTCACTGGTCTTATGTGCATGCATGCCCCAAATCCTGAAAGGAGGAAGAAGGGGAGGAGAAGGGATTATATTGGGTCCTTGGAAAATACATGATGCATTTTTTTCATAGACAAACACGTCATGACTTTTCTAATGACCCAGTAGCGTGACTGTCCCCCGTGGGCTGAGTGCTTTCTAACTTTCTCCCTCCTTTCCAGTGAGGACACATACCATCTGGCAAAATTTAAAAATAAGTAAATTAATAAGTCTGCTATGGACATTTGCGTAAGGCTTTTAAGTCAGTTTTTCTGGAGTAGCCATCGATGAGTGCAGTGCTGTGTCATGGGAGGCGCGCGTTTTCCAAGAGCGGCTGTACCATTTCCCTTTCTCACCAGCAGTGTTTGAGTGAGTGAGTTTCTCCACATCCAGGCTAGCATTTGGTAGCGTCAGCATTGTTTTTTCTTTTTTAGCCGTTTGATAGGTATGTAGTAACAACTCATTACAGTTTTTCTATCCCTTACGGCTGATAATGTCGAACATCGTTTGGTGTGCTTTGTTGTCCTCTGTGTCTCGCTTGTTTGAAATGTCTGTTCTTGTCTTTTGCCCATTTTCTTTTTGGATTGTTTGATGGTTTTTTTTGTTTGTTTTTTTTTTAAGGTCGTTTTTTGGTTTTTATTTTACGTGATTTTTTTAAAAATATTTTTATTTCTTCAGGTTTGTGCCATAGGGTGCATGTGCTCGCTGGAAAGAGACAGAGAGACCAAGAGAAAGTGAGAAGTCCCCCCCTGAGTCCATGGTCACACTGCATTTCCTTCTCCGTTTTCCTCTTGGGATTTTGGGCATGCATGCACACATGTCCAGCATGATTTTCAAGTCTCTAGGTCCAGGACTCAACCCGTGGTCGGCTGAAGGAGTTAAGCACCTTACCTACCACACTACCTGCTGGCCTCCCATTTGATTTATTTTTACCGTAGAGATTTGGGGATTCCTTATATGTGGGGTCTTCAGAAAGTTCGTGGAAAATGAAAATTTTTTTAAAAGCATGGATTAGAAAAACTTAACACCAAAATATGCTTGCATTTTTTTTTTTTAAGAGAAATTTTTGCTATAGGGCATGTGCACTCACTGAAGAGACAGAGGCAGTAAGGGATCATACCACCCCCCACACACCCTGCCAGGGAGGATGGCCACACTGTAACCCCTTCTCCTTCATTCTCTCGGTATCTCGGGCATGCACGCACACACACCCAGCATGAGTTTCAAGCCATCGGATCCAGGACTTGAACTGTGGTTGGCTATGTGGGGATCCAGTGACATAACCATTATGCCAACTGCTGGTCCCAATAAACATGTATTTTAATTCCATTTTCCCTGAACTTTTTGAAGTCTCCTTATATTTTCTAAATATTAGCCCTTTGTGGAATGTGTAGTTTGGGACTTTTTTCCTTTCTGTTTTTGTTATGGGACACATGCACTTGCCAGAGAGACAGAGAGGGCGGGAAAGTGGTCAGTCACCCTCCACGGGGCAGGGCCACACCGCAGTCCCAGCTCCTCCACTCTCCTCTCAGGATTCTGGGCATGCACGCACACATGCCCAACATGCCCTTCAAGCCACCAGGTTCCAGACTAGGACCACGAAGTCGGAATTGTGGGATCCAGTTGCCTTCGCCACCACACTGCTGTCTGGCCTGGGACTTTTTGTTTTCATTTTGTCCTAGTTTTCCTTTTGATGAACTCCAAGTTATCAACTTTTTATTTTATGAATTGTGCTAAGAAGGAACTCTTTC